ACACATAAATACACACAGAAACACACAAATAGACACAGAAACACACAGATATGAATACCCAGATATAAACCTCCACACATAAATACCCACAAAAACACACAAATAGACACAGAAATACACAGAGAGACACAGAAATACACAGAAATACAGAGATATAAATACCCAGATACAAACCCCCAGACACAGAAACACCCACAGAAACACACAGAGATACACAGATATTAACCAAGACACAGAAATGCACACAGAAACACACACACACACGTAAATACACATAGAAACACACAGACACATATGTAGACAGATAAACACACAGATATAAAATCACACACTCACAGAAGCCATATTACACATATAATAAAGACATTAACACACATAATAAACACACACAGAGAGCCCTGCACATGGTGTGTAAAATACACACAGATACACGCACAGAGCCCTGCACATGGCATGTTACACATATAATAAACACATTTACACACATAATAAACACACACAGAGAGCCCTGCACATGGTGTGTAAAATACACACAAATACACGCACAGAGCCCTGCACATGGCATGCAAGACATAAAATTAACACACATGTAATAAACACATGTACAGAGCCCTGATCATGGTGTGTAACACATGCACAGACACAAACATATAATAAACACACACAGAGATGTGCACATGGAATGTAACACACATAAAACACAGAGAAAACCCTGCACATGGCATGTAACATATAAAATACACACACAGAACCCTGCACATGGCATGTAACATATAAAACACAGAGAAAACCCTGCACATGGCAGGTCACACACCTAAAACACACACACAGAACCCTGTACATGGCGTGTAACATATAAAACACACACACAGAACCCTGCACCTGACATGTCAAACACACACAGAACCCTGCACCTGACATGTCAAACATACACAAACACACATAGAACCCTGCACATGGCATGTAACATATAAAACACACACAGAACCCTGCACATGGCATATCACACATAAAACCCACACATAGAACCCTGCACATGGAATGTCACACATACACAAACACACACTCAGAACCCTGCACATGACATGTTAAACACACACAAGCACACACACAGAACCCTGCACATGACATATCACACATAAAACACACACAGAACCCTGCACACGGAATGTCACACACACAAACACACATGTAGAACCCTACACATGGCATGTAACATATAAAACACATACANAAACACATGTACAGAGCCCTGATCATGGTGTGTAACACATGCACAGACACAAACACACAAACATATAATAAACACACAGAGGTGTGCACATGGCATGTAACACACACATAAAATACAGAGAAAACCCTGCACATGGCATGTAACATATAAAACACACATACAGAACCTTGCACATGGCAGGTCATACATAAAACAGAGAAAATCCTGCACATGGCATGTGACACACACATAAAACACAGAGAAAACCCTGCACATGGCATGTAACATACAAAATACACACACAGAACCCTGCACATGGCATGTAACATATAAAACACAGAGAAAACCCTGCACATGGCAGGTCACACACCTAAAACACACACAGAACCCTGCACCTGACATGTCAAACACACACAAACACACATAGAACCCTGCACATGGCATGTAACATATAAAACACACACAGAACCCTGCACATGGAATGTCACACACACATAAAACACACACAGAACCCTGCACATGGAATGTCAAACACACACAAACACACACACAGAACCCTGTACATGGCGTGTAACATATAAAACACACACAGAACCCTGCACCTGACATGTCACACACACACAAACACACACTCAGAACCCTGCACATGGAATGTCAAACACACACACGCCCCCACACCCCCTCCCAGCAGCTTTCCCAGCCTCGCACCTTCCCCTCCCCAGCACCCCCAATATCCCCCAATAGCCCCCCCAAACCCCGCGTTACCATCAGCCAGGTGTCGAGGGACCACGCCAAAATTTGGGAGGGGAGGGCGGGSAACACGCTCAGATACGGGGAGAAAACACGCCAAAGTTTTTTTTTGGGGGGTTCTTTGGGAAGTGCAGCCCCAGGGATGAGGCGGCCGAGTGGCAGCGCCGCCGCCGCCGCCGCCTTTTTATAGGGCCGGGCAGGTGATGTGCACACACCTGGAAACTCCAGCTCCAGGTTCCTTCCTCCTCCCCGCGRGCCGCCACTTCCTTCTCCTCTCCACGTGTGCCAGCCGGGAATACGGGAGCCTGACACCTCCACAATTTCGGAGGAGGTGGGAAGGGGTGTCCAGGGCTGACCCGGTGACACGGGACGGGCATCCCCCAAGGCCGTGCCCTATTTCGTCACCAGCGCCTGTGAGATCACCATCGCATTCCCGGGCAGAAATCCCAAATTGGGCAACCCTGGGAAGGGCAGAAGGGCTGCCATTAACCCCCGCTGCTGCTCCTTGCTCCGGGGTGGCTCGGTGACCTGTGGGACACTGGTTTGATACTGGGAATGAGGAGCGGGGCTGGAGGATGGGAAATCCCAGGGATGGGAAATCTCGGGGATGGGGAACTGCAAGGATCCCAAAAGCTGTTCCTGAAATGAGAGGGATGCCCTCAGATGATACCACAACATCAGTAGGATACTGGTTCCATACTGGGAACAAGGAGCTTGGGACACTCAGGGCCCCCCAAACATCATTCCCTAAATTAGGGGAATTTAGCAGAGGGACCCCCAATGATGCCAGRCAGGGCAGAGGCTGCAGAGCCCCCCAGTAACACACCAGTGGGGTAYTGGTTTCACACTGGGTGCTCCCCCAGAAAAGAGAGCGGTTTTTCCAGCTCCACGGAACGGATGCCCCAAAAATCCCAAAAGGTATCACCCCAAAAATCCCAAAAGATATCACCCCAAAACCCCCAAAGGTATCACCCCAAAACC